CCCAGTCCGTCACCCAATTTCGTATCAAATGGCCCAATAGGTACACCTTCCAACAATCCGCCATCCGTAACATCACTTATGCAGCCACTGAGTGAGCGGGCAAGCAGTACACCGCCCGTTATGGCAGCATCCCCGGCGTCGGCCACATCTGGCACATCGGTGCCGGTGAATGTTAGTGCAGCGTCCAGTGGTGTTGGTTCGTCCATAGGTGGCACTTTGACTACACTAACATCAACAGCATCCTCCTCAACCACTCCAGTGTCTGCGGCGCCACCAATGAGTGCCGCCGTCAACACCAGCAGCAATGGCGCAACGCTGACGCAGCAGCAGCAACAGCAACAACAACAAATATCGATGGGTAAAGGTGGCAATAGCAATAGCAGCAGCAGTACCAGTGCAGCAGCCACTACTACCTCGACGTCGACTGTGATGAGTTCGCGTCCTTCCTCTAGCAGTAATCTGTCATCGCAAATGGCCGCATTGGAAGCCGCGGCACGTGCTAACGATGAAACGCCACCTTCACCCAGTGCGGACTCTGGCGGTGAGAGCGGTAACGCTTCTAAAGGCAAGCTAGATTCCATCAAGCAAGAAGATGATATCAAAAAAGAGTACATGGAAGATGGCAGTGGTGGCGCTGGAGACAATTCCCAGATGGACTCGCAATCATCCGCAGGTGTTGGCAAAAATGTAAATAATGATGGCACCAATGTGAAGGTTGAAATCAAGACTGAAGATGGAGATGCTGTAATAAAAGCCGAACCAATGGATACTGATGATAATGGCGGTGCCAATGGTGTAGGCGGAAGTGGAAACGCCAGCGGTGGAGATAGTAAAGATGAGGCAAAGGCAGCTGCTGATGGCGAAACTAAAATAAAGTCAGAAACAAAGCCAGTAGTACCAGAACCACTTATGCCAAACGCAGGCGACAAAAAGAAGAAATGCGGTAAGTATTGAGGTCAGGTGTGGCCAATTATAGACAAATTACATAAATGTATTGTATGTGTGAATAACACATTTTCACATTTCTATTCCAGTATTTAATCCCGAGGAGCTAAAACAGGCGCTATTACCAACCTTAGATAAGTTGATACGACATGAACCGGAATCAGCGCCCTTCCGTTGTCCCGTGGATCCGCAAATGCTTGGCATACCAGATTATTTTGACATTGTTAAGAAGCCAATGGACTTGGGTACCATACGCAACAATCTCATGAACGGGAAATACAATGATCCCTGGGAGTACGTCGACGATGTCTGGTTAATGTTTGATAATGCTTGGCTCTACAATCGAAAAACCTCTCGTGTCTACCGATACTGCACAAAAGTAAGTTTCACAAAATAAAATATATAAAAAAGGAAGAAACATATACTCTAAACAAATTCCGAGTGACCTCCGTTCTTATCATTCATTTCATATAAATTTATTTGCAGTTATCCGAAGTGTTTGAGCAAGNTATAAAAAAAAGAAGAAACATCTACTCTAAACAAATTCCGAATGACCTCCGTTCTTATCATTCATTTCATATAAATTTATTTGCAGTTATCCGAAGTGTTTGAGCAAGAAATTGACCCAGTGATGCAAGCTTTGGGCTACTGTTGTGGACGTAAATACACATTTAATCCACAGGTGCTATGTTGTTATGGAAAACAACTTTGCACAATACCCCGTGATGCCAAGTATTACAGCTACCAAAATAGGTATGTAACTGATACGAGTATTTATAAATACATACATACATATATTCTTAGAAACGTACACATAATGCGTTTGGTCAAAATGATATCAACAAAGATATAATGGAGGATATGCACTACGACCTTGGGTCTGTTGTGCATATCAATAAATAGTTGCGTGGGATGTGAATAAAGAATAAAGTAGAGATAATCAAGTTAGCATAGAAGCAGTCCGCGAAAAGAATTTTTTCTGCTATCCGAACCATTTGCTTTATTGATATCATTTTGTATCAAAACAAAAGTAAAATCAGAAGAGTAATTTCATCACCTATCCATTGCGCCCTTAATAAATATTCAAATTACATATGACACCATTGTAATTAATCATTAAAGGATTGAAACACCAGATTTCCCGTGCTGCTTAGTAGAATTAAATTTTCAGTT